GGTATTATAAGCAAAGTCTCACTACAATTTATGACTTTTCATACGTTTTCACGAAGCTATGACATGTTTAAAACGATGGTTACAAAAATATAATATGAACACGAAAATCAATTTGAGGAATTTTATTGATCACATGATTGTTACTACACAAATTCGCAAAAGTAAAACTGACCAGTACAAAATGAACAGAATTATGCATGTTGGTAATTTTACAGAACCTGTGGGTCAGTTTGACCGAGTGTATAGCTGACCACGACAACACAATCAGACCATGCCATTAGCGATCATTGCAGAATCAATCCATTTTGATATGCCAAAATACTAAGCATGGCATAAATGTGCGAGGGGCCGATTGCTATCAAGATGTGACAGAGTTAGAACCTTTCGAAATGATAGCCGCAAACAGCGTGGAACCACTGGTGGTTTGAGCTGACCTATACGTTATATATTTGACATATTTTCTCAAAACACTAATGAAACAGTTAAGATCGACATCGTTCTAACTTTCTAATGTAATAAATACCTGGAACATCTACATCAGGCGAACCGACTTCAAACTGACCAATGCTACTTAGTCAACTTTCCAGCTCCAAAACTACTCAAATCACCTGATGGCCGATAGAAACATGTGAGCAACTGACCAATCAAACAAACACCATCGAAATTTATAAATTGGACCACTGCTGGACAATACTAGCTAAGTTATGAATGGCCAATTCATCAAATATCGGTTCAGTTCTTCACGAGACCACTAGTTGCCGAAATCCATAGAGTTAAAATTCAATTTAACAAATATAAGGTACAACATAACATTGGTCAAACACCATTCCAATCGTATCGGATTGTGACCCCAACAAAACTCAGACAATAAAATCGAGTCTTTGACGTCAATCTCAAACTTCTATTTCCATCACCGACTGCAATCCACGTTCTTCTCTTTGAACGACGAAACGAATCTGTAATAAAATAAATAACAACATTCCATATAAACGTAATGCACAATCTGTCCGTTCTCCACTGCAGAAAATGTCGTCATGCATTGTAGTTTTGACATGAAGGAAAATTAATTAAAAATATATGTATGTAATTGATTATTCAAAATCAAAACAATCTATCCCGTTATTTTTTTATGTTTGGGAGGAACCTACCTAGCGAGAACGAGTAAACTTACCTAGTCAGGGAGGAGTAGCTAGTGGCGAACCAACTAAGGGAGGGATATGGTATCTAGAGAGGGATATAGTACCAACTTAGGGAGGGACATGGTATCGAGAGAGGAATATAGTACCAACTTAGGGAGGGACATGGTATCTATAGAGGGATATAGTACCAACGTAGCGAGGGATATGGTATCTAGACTAGAGAGAGATATAGTACCAACTTGGGGAGGGACATGGTATCTAGAGAGGGATATAGTACCAATTTAGGGAGGGACAAAGTACCTAGAGAGGAATATAGTACCAACTTAGGGAGGGACATGGTATCTAGAGAGGTATATAGTACCAACGTAGGGAGGGACATGGTATCTAGGGAGGGATATAGTACCAACTTAGGGAGGGACATGGTTCTTACAGATGGATATAGTACCAACTTAGGGAGGGACATGGTATCTAGAGAGGGATATAGTACCAACGTAGGGAGGGACATGGTATCTAGAGAGGGATATAGTACCAACTTAGGGAGGGACATGGTATCTAGAGAGGGATATAGTACCAACATAGGGAGAGACATGGTATCTAGAGAGGAATATAGTACCAACTTAAGGAGGGACATGGTATCTAGAGAGGGATATAGTACCAACTTAGGGAGGGACATGGTATCTAGAGAGGGATATAGTACCAACTTAGGGAGGGACATGGTATCTAGAGAGGGATATAGTACCAACTTAGGGAGGGACATGGTATCTAGAGAGGGATATAGTACCAACTTAGGGAGGGACATGGTATCTAGAGAGGGATATAGTACCAACTTAGGGAGGGACATGGTATCTAGAGAGGGATATAGTACCAACTTAGGGAGGGACATGGTACCTAGAGAGGGTTAAGTACCAACGTATGGAGGGACATGGTACCTAAAGAGGGATATAGTACCAATTTAGGGAGGGACATGGTATCTAGAGAGGGATATAGTACCAACTTAAGGAGTGGCATAGTATCTAGAGAGGGATATAGTACCAACTTAGGGAGGGACATGGTATCTAGAGAGGGACATAGTACCAACTTGGGAGGGACATGGTATCTAGAGAGGGATATAGTACCAACGTAGGGAGGGACATGGTATCTAGAGAGGGATATAGTACCAACTTAGGGAGGGACAAAGTACCTAGAGAGGAATATAGTACCAACTTAGGGAGGGACATGGTATCTAGAGAGGGATATAGTATCAACGTAGCGAGGGACATGGTGTCTAGAGAGGGATATAGTACCAACTTCTGGAGGAACATGGTATCTAGAGAGGGATATAGTACCAACTTAGGGAGGGACATGGTATCTAGAGAGGGATATAGGACCCACTAAGGGAGGGACATGGTACCCAGAGAGGGATATAGTACCAACTTAGGGAGGGACATGGTATCTAGACAGGGATATAGTACCAATTTAGGGAGGGACATGGTATCTAGAGAGGGATATAGGACCCACTAAGGGAGGGACATGGTACCCAGAGAGGGATATAGTACCAACTTAGGTAGGGACATGGTATCTAGAGAGGGATATAGTGCCAACTTAAGGAGGGACATAGTATCTAGAGAGGGATATAGTACCAATTTAGGGAGGGACAAAGTACCTAGAGAGGAATATAGTACCAACTTGGGGAGGGACATGGTATCTAGAGAGGTATATAATCTAGAGAGGGATATAGTACCAACTTAAGGAGGGACATAGTATCTAGAGAGGGATATAGTACCAATTTAGGGAGGGACATGGGATCTAGAGAGGGATATAGGACCCACTAAGGGAGGGACATGGTACCCAGAGAGGGATATAGTACCAACTTAGCGAGGAACATGGTACCTAGAGAGGGTTAAGTACCAACGTATGGAGGGACATGGTACCTAAAGAGGGATATAGTACCAACTTAGCGTGGACATGGTACCTAGAGAGGGATACAGTACCAGCTTAGGGAGGGACATGGTATCTAGAGAGGGATATAGCACCAACTTAGGGAGGGACATGGTATTTAGGGAGGGACAAAGTACCTAGAGAGGGATATAGTACCAACTTGAGGAGGAACATGGTATCTAGAGAGGGCTAGAGAGGGATATAGTACCAACTTGAGGAGGAACATGGTATCTAGAGAGGGCTAGAGAGGGATATAGTACCAACTTGAGGAGGAACATGGTATCTAGAGAGGGCTAGAGAGGGATATAGTACCAACTTGGGGAGGAGCATGGTATCTAGAGAGGGATATAGCACCAACTTAGGGAGGGACATGGTATCATAGTACCAACTTAGCGAGGAACATAGAACCTAGAGAGGGTTAAGTACCAACGTATGGAGGGACATGGTATCTAGAGAGGGATAAGAGGGTTAAGTACCAACGTATGGAGGGACATGGTACCTAAAGAGGGATATAGTACCAACTTAGGGAGGGACAAAGTACCTAAAGAGGGATATAGTACCAACTTAGGGATGGAAGTGGTATCTAGAGAGGAATATAGTACCAATTTAGGGAGGGACAAAGTACCTAGAGAGGAATATAGTACCAACTTAGGGAGGGAAGGGAGGGACATGGTACCTAAAGAGGAATATAGTACCAACTTAGGGAGGGAAGGGAGGGACATGGTACCTAAAGAGGAATATAGTACCAACTTAGGGAGGGACAAAGTACCTAGAGAGGAATATAGTACCAACTTAGGGAGGGAAGGGAGGGACATGGTACCTAAAGAGGGATATAGTACCAATTTAGGGAGGGACATGGTATCTAGAGAGGGATAAAGTTCCCACGGAGGGAAGGACATGGTATCTAGAGAGGGATATAGCACCAACTTAGGGAGGGACATGGTATATAGAGAGGTATATAGTACCAACGTAGGGAGGGACATGGTATCTAGAGAGGGATATAGCACCAACTTAGGGAGGGACATGGTATCTAGAGAGGGATATAGTACCAACTTAGCGAGGGACGTGGTATCTATTGAGGGATATAGTACCAACTTAGGGATGGACGTGGTATCTAGAGAGGAATATAGTACCAATTTAGGGAGGGACATGGTATCTAGAGAGGTATATAGTACCAACTTAGGGAGGGACAAAGTACCTAGAGAGGAATATAGTACCAACTTAGGGAGGGACATGGTACCTAAAGAGGGATATAGTACTAATTAAGGGAGGGACATGTTATCTAGAGAGGGATATAGTACCAACTTAGGGAGGGACAAAGTACCTAGAAAGGAATATAGTACCAACTTAGGGAGGGACATGGTACCTTAAGAGGGATATAGTACCAATTTAGGGAGGGACATGGTATCTAGAGAGGGATATAGTACCAACTTAGGGAGGGACATGGTATCTAGAGAGGGATATAGTACCAACTTAGCGAGGGACATAGTACCTAGAGAGGGTTAAGTACCAACGTATGGAGGGACATGGTACCTAAAGAGGGATATAGTACCAACTTAGCGAGGGACATAGTTTCTAGAGAGGGATATAGAGAGGGATATAGTACCAACCTATTGCGGGATATGGCACCTTGATAGGGATAAAGTATCTACCTTGCAAGGGACAAACGACCTAGTGAGTGACAGTGTTCCTAGCGGGACAGAGAACTTGGGGAGGGACATTGTACCTAGAGAGAAAGAGTATCTACCTAGCAAGGGATATAGGACATAGTGAGTGACAGTGTTCCTAGCGAGGGACAGGGTTCTTAACAGGGACATAGTACCAACTATCAAGGGACAGAGTACAATGGGAGGGATATAGTACCAATTTAGCAATGGACCTAGAGAGGGATATAACACCAATAAAGCGAGGGACATAGTACCAGTTGAGGGACAGAGTACATACCTAGCGAGGGACAGGGTACCAGGAGTTGATATGACGCTGGGTGCACAGTGGGAACAACACCATAGGCTCCTCCTCAAAATGCTGGACGAGTTTCCTCTTCCGGTACAGGTCATTCCATGGCAGCTCTTTGGTCAGTACCACGGCCAACTCTAGTCCACAGTAAAACAACATCATGGCGTTTGACCTTTTTGCGAAATTTGCCTTGTCTTTCTTACGAGTACCGGAGGGCTTCCACAATGATCTCCTTTTAACCTGACACGGGGCAGTACCGCAGTGACGGCAGAGGGAAGGACCTGTACGAACAAATATTTGATATGTCAAGACAAATTTTCGAAATCCAGGGTTTAAGTTCTCGACACACAAAACGTTATTTACTATGCATCCTGAGATTTTATCAGAACGGAATCGGGGACTAACAGTTACCTATCTGACTGGTTCCAGACACCCAAGTCTAACCAATTACAAGGCTCATAGAAGGTGGTTCCCGTTCTTTAAACAAGACCAAGGAGCTACTCTGAGATGAACGTCTATCAAGATTACATTTACACTGTACGTTACTAAACAATTCGCTTTAACATTTAATCTAAACATTGCTCTGAGTGGTTTCCAAGCTAGCAAACGTGCAATTCCGTTAAGGTAGTTTTTACAACACTAGATTCATAAAAACGTACATTAATTTTCGAAAACGTCTTAATTACAAGGTAAATAAAACACTAGAACTGAAAGTGAGAAAACTGATACGTTCATTGCACTGTTGCTTTATTCAATATTTAAACCTTCGCTGGTTACTTACGAGCTCTCCATTCTTGGAACATTGACACGGCGGCTGAACATTTCTCTTTGACGATTTGTCCGATCGACGGCGCAAAGCCCAACAGCAGGGTAAGAAGCACACACAGCAGGTTATAGAATCCCTCATTTCCAATTCGCTAAAATAAATCAAGTCATAATTATTTTAGGGAATAGTACTATAATACAAACATTCAATGTTCAAGACCCGCACGATACGGACAATGGAAACGAAAGCTGTTTTTATCACGTAGCTGGAGGCTAATAATATTGCGAAATACACACAAGAAAATCATACGAAACGAAATGCACACGCGTAAAATATACAAAGTATTTAATAAATTGATGAGAAGTAGAATCAGTTAAACATCATCACAAGCATAAGCTTACTTAACTATTAGGAAAATAAAAACTGTTGACGTGTTCATGACAGTCATTAACATTAAAAATATGTAATTCTTACCCATGTCAGATCGGTAACCGTTGGACAGACTTTCTCAATTTCACTTGCTGTGAAATAATAAAATAATCTTTTGGCATATCCTGGCTCGGGCTCCACGCTAGAGAGAAAAAATTATAAAGTTAAGAGAAAATATTTCTAAATATTCAATGGCAACACAATCGTAAACTTGAAAAGGTTATTGACGTTCATTTGAGCTCCGCGAGATCTTTGCTTAACGTCAAGTAAAAATATAACATACAAGATCCAATCTTACCATGTCTGGTCCAAACTTACCACGTAAGGTCTCGATATAATGCAGGCCCTTGGTGCATGGCGCGCATAATTACCACAAATAGCAAGAATAATCTGATATTCATTGTGGTAATCGAAGAATTAAACAAAAGAAGTAAATATCAGGGGAGAGACTGATCATCTACACCTTTGCCGATCGCTAAGCAGCTTAGCAACAAGTATATGACGTCACAAGTGGGTATCTCTATTTTACCGATCATGACGTCATACTATTGTCTTTTACCTAATAAGTGCAAGCGGTTACACGTTGGTGACAATGTTTATGGTACTTAAATGTCTTCTGTTATGAATCGAACCCTGGACTAGCGGCAGTGAGCGCTTCCAGTAGGAGTCGAATTCGGGACTAATAGCGACAGGATATGTTGACCTTAGAATTCCACTAAAATTCTAACACAGGACAAGCGACACTTGGGCCCGTATTCATGAAACCGTTCTCATTTTCAAGCATTAACTATGTGCTCAAACCAGTTTTCCTGTTAATTCACCGAAGTCATGTCAAACGATCAAACAGTCAAATTAAAATTTGGAAACAATATATGGCCTTCAATATTTGTTCCAAATCAGTGAAAAAATATTATTTCTCTTATTAATCTACAACCGGAACAAGAAACTTGAGCTCAAAATCCATGCTTGAGCATGAGAACGGTACATAAATACGGGCCCATGGTATGTGTTTCCGTCAGAAATTGAGGCACACAAAAATGGAGTGAACTTCTGCGATGTAGCCGGGATCAAATATGTGTTTCCCGAAATATCGTTCTATTAGGTGTTGAAATCTGGACAAGCGACACAGGTCTTGCGCAGTGTGTCGAACCCATGCGCAAATTGAAATAAAAACAGCAGCACACTTGAGTTTCACACATATATACAGTTGTCGCCCTTTAACCGGGTCGCCGGCAAGGAAAAGCACTACGGCGAAATTTTTGCGTATCCAACTGCATTGTACGTGCCAAATGGAACCATGATAAAAATTGGACCTAAGTGAACTTCCTCACTATGTCCCGTAAGTGTAAGGTTTTTAAAAAGTAACCACCCACACATTTAAACTTGACCCCTGTTGACGGTCAATTTCATTTTGCTTAGCACTAATTAAAAGATAAAATTGAACTCATATTCTGGTATGGCGTCTTAATTTTCCGTCCACTCGATCGCCCGTCCTTTTTTTGGCTGACCCGATAAAACGTTTTAGGATTCCTACCCCGTTTTGGATTCACCAACCGTTAATTAACCCATATAATGTATAGAGTAGTCTGAATGCACATTTGTTTTGCAAAAAAACAACACTATTGAAGCATCTACAGATAAAAGATTCGCATAAAAAGTCTATGAAATAACGAAAACAATGATGTTTAATGGAATGCTTAGAAACCCGTTCATGGTTTTAGAAGTTTATTTCCTCGTCCTTAAAAAAGTGTTTGACTTTTTTGGTTATACAATTTTGTGTGCACTGCATTTTCTATCGTAAATTATAAGGTTTCAAATCGGCGACAATTGCGCGCGCGCGCTCTCTCTATCTATCTATCTATCTCCCTCTCCCTCTCTCTCTCTCCCAATATTTATTTATTATATGTAGATATTTCATATTTTGTTTTATCTTTTGTAATAATCTTTTCAATGCTAAACGAAATTTAATCCACCTAAAGAGACTATTATTTCCTATATATCCTATCGTCTCGTTTCTCTACGATTTTCGTTTTTTTGTTTTTTGTTTTTGGAAATACATCTTTCTGAATTGTGTGGTAAGTTAATATGAAGAATCTCTTTGATGAGATGAAAGTGCTACGGACGTGACGGTGTTTTTGATTATTTTTTCTTTTTATATAATGTACATTGTACTTGTATGTATATTATAAACAAATACCAAACATCAGTGAGGACTTCGTGAAATCGTCAGATATTACAGTGTATCCGTAAAATGCGGAGATATAGACAGATAACTCAGGGTTTTTTAATTATACCATGATACATAAAGAATTTAGAGGATGTCCGTAAATCAAGGGGCCGTATTCACGGAAACGTTCTCATGCTCAAACCCAGATTCTGTGCTCAAGCGCAATATCTTGTTCCGGTGATAATTGTAAAATAAATATTTTGTCAATGATTTGGAATAATTATAGAGTCTTAAAACCGAAGTATATTTTCAATGTTAACATTTGACTTTTTGGGGCGTGTCATATTATTTAAGTGAGTAACAGAGATGGTTTGAGCACAGAATCCATGCTTGAGCATGAGAACGGTTTCATTAATACGGGTCGAGGTATCGGTAATATCAGCAAAGTCTCACTTCAAGCTATGACATGTTAAAAACGATGGTTACAAAAATATAATATGAACACGAAAATCAATTTAAAGAATTTTATTGATCACATGATTGTAACTACACATATTCGCAAAAGCAAAACTGACCAGTACAAAATGATCAGAATTATGCATCTTGGTAATTTTACAGAACCTGTGGGTCAGTTTGACCGAGTGTATAACTGACCTCGACAGAACAATCATACCATGCCATTAGCGGTCATTGCAGAATCAATCCATTTTGATATGCCAAAATACTAAGCATAGCATAAATGTACGAGGGACCGATTGCTTTCAAGATGTGACAGGGTTAGAACCTTTCGAAATGATAGCCGCAACCAGCGTGGAACCACTGGTGGTTTGAGCTGGCCTATGGTTGAGTATTTGACAAATTTTATCAAACCTCTAATAAACAGTTAATATCGACATCGTTCTAACTTGCTAATGTATTAAATACCGGAAACATCTACATAAGGCGAACCGACTTCGAACTGACCAATACTACTTAGTCAACTTTCCAGCTCCACAACTACTCAAATCACCTAATTGCCGATAGAAACATGTGAGCAACTGACCAATCAAACAAACACCATCGAAATTTATAAATTGGACCACTGCTGGACAATACTAGCTAACTTATGAATGGCCAATTCAGCAAGTATCGGTTCAGTTCTCACGAGACCGCTAGTGTCCTAAGATCCACAGAGTTACAATTCAAATTAACAAATATAAGGTACAACATAACATTGGTCAAACACCATTCCAATCGGATCGGATTGTGACCCCAAAAAACTCAGACAATAAAATCGAGTCTTTGACGTCAATCTCAAACTTCTATTTCCATCACCGACTGCAATCCACATTCTTCTCTTTGAACGACGAAACGAATCTGTAATAAAATAAATAACAAAATGTCATATAAACGTAATGCACAATCTGTCCGTTTTCGACTGCAGAAAATGTCGTCATGCATTGTAGTATTGAAAATTAATTAAAAATATATGTATGAAATTTATTATTCAAAATCAAAACAATCTATCTCGTTATTTATTTTTTTTATTTTTGGGAGGAACCTACCTAGCGAGAACGAGAAAACTTACCTCGTCATGTAGGAGTAGCTAGTGAGGAACCAACTTAGGGAGGGATATGGTATTTAGAGAGGGATATAGTACCAATGTAGGGAGGGACATGGTACCTAGAGAGGGATATAGTACCAACTTAGGTGTACTAACTTAGCTAGGGACATGGTATCTAGAGAGGGATATGGTACCAACTTAAGGAGGGACATGGTACCTAGAGAGGGATATAGTACCAACTTAAGGATGGACGTGGTACCTTAAAAGCGATATAGTACCAACTTAGGGAGGGACATGGTACCTTAAAAGCGATATAGTACCAACTTAGGGAGGGACATAGTACAAACTTAGGGATGGACGTGGTACCTTAAAAGCGATATAGTACAAACTTAGGGAGGGACATGGTACGTTAAAAGCGATATAGTATACAGTTAAAGTATGGGGTTGAGGGATATAGCAAGGTTCTGGTGTCCCGATACCAGGTCTATTTCCCGAGGCGCAGCCGAGGGAAATAGGCATGGTCAAGGGACACCAGAACCTTGCTATATGCCTCAACCCCATACTTAACCGTTTTATTATACCGATACACACTGTAGTGATAGTTTTAACTAGAAAATATTTATAAACCATAAGCTGTATAGCTTCACGTCCCTTCTAGCCAAATGCTTCCGAGTTCGGTAGCAAGCTCCGCCCACCTCGCGCGTCACTGAGGAGTTCGGTAACAAGCTCCGGCCACCTGTCGCCTGATTGGCTCGGCGGAAACACCCGAGGGTAGGTGTTTTTTAGTTCCAAGACTAACACACAGGACTAAAACACACTCAGGCAAAAGTGGGAATATATTCGATTTAACCAATTACTTTTAAATAGAGTAAATAAAGTAGAGGTGTACTAATACCAACTTAGGGAGGGACATAGTATCTAGAGAGGTATATAGTAACAACTTAGGGAGGGACATGGTGACTAAAAAGCGATACAGTACCAACTTAGGGAGGGAAGTGGTACCTAGAGAGGGATATAGTACCCACTAAGGGAGGGGCATGGTACCTAAAAAGGGATAAGTAGCAACTGAGGGAGGGACATGGTATCTAGAGAGGGATATAGTACCAACGTAGCGAGGGATATGGTACCTAGATAGGGATAAAGTATCTACCTAGCAAGGGACAAATGACCTAGTCAGTGACAGTGTTCCTAGTGGGACAGAGAACTTGGGGAGGGACATTGTACCTAGAGAGGAAGAGTATCTACCTTGCGAGGGACATAGGACATAGTGAGTGACAGTGTTCCTAGCGAGGGACATGGTTCTTAACAGGGACATAGTACCAACGTATCAAGGGACAGAGTACATAGGGAGGGATATAGTATCAATTTAGCAAGAGTCCTAGAGAGGGATATAACACCAACAAAGCGATGGACATAGTACCAGTCGAGGGGAAAAGTACCAGTTGAGGGATAGAGTACATACCTAGCGAGGGACAGGGTACCAGTAGTTGATATGACGCTGGATGCAGAGTGGGAAGAACACCATATGTTCCTCCTCAAAATGCTGGACCAGCTTCCTCTTCCAGTACAGGTCATCCAGTGGCAGCTCTTTGTTCAGTACCACGGACAAATCTAGTCCACAGTAAAACAACATCATGGCGTTTGACCTTTTTGCGAAATTTGCCTTGTCTTTCTTACGAGTACCGGAGGGCTTCCACAAGGATCTCCTTTTAACCTGACACGGGGCAGTACCGCAGTGACGGCAGAGGGAAG